TAGGGTTCCCAATTCCCAGCGTCCCTGCCCGAGGCAGTAATCGTAACCGAGATGGGAGACGCCACTGGATTAGGAGCCAGGGAGCCCTCCGCGCTCCCCTGCAGCGTCCCAGTGGCTCCCTCAGGCGACTCGGAGCGGGGCGATCCACACGCTCTTATCTCCACTCTGCAGATGGGGACCCAGGGCTCAGAGACCACCCGCTGGCAAGGGGCGGGGCCAGGACGCCAGGCACGGCCCGTCTGATGCCGAGCCCGGTCCCCGCCCTGCTCTCGCTGCGTCTCGGCGACGCCGGCCCCAGCGCCGCCACCCACCCCTCCCTGCCCCCACACCCGGGCGCACCTCGACTGTGCGGCACGGCGGCGCCCCAGCGGTAGAAGGAGGTGTTGCCTGGGGACAGGTGCAGAGGCTTCCTGTCGGTCTCCGCGCACTGCTCGGCCATGAACTCCAGCTGGGTCTTCGTGCAGGCCTGGCGGGACGGGGGTGGGGGACAGACGATGGGCACAGAGGGAGCCTAGGGCGCAGGGTTCCGGCAGGGGGCTCAGGGCGGGAGGCCCTCTCCACTAAGGGGAGATGGCGAGGCACCCTGTCGTGCGAGGGTCACCACGTGAGCTCGGGACCAACTCCTGGCTGCACCTCCCTGCTCTGTGAAGTGGGGGTGGCAAGGCCCTTTCTCTGGTGGTGCGGGAATTCCTGGACGATTTGTGAGGGAGCAGGCGGGGCCGGCTGGGGGCAGCGCCGAGGAAAAGCAGGGGCCCGAGTCCCGGGGGCGGGGCGAGAGCGAGCCACGTGCAGGGGCGGGCGGGCGTCTGGCCTCCGCACGCTGGAGTGTCAGGGAAGAATCGGAGCGGACCCGCCGAGCAGGGACAGGACCGCGCTGCCCTCCGCACAGGCCCGTCTGATGGACTCTCCCCCTGAGGACTCGCCCCCCAGGTCTGGCCTCCAGGGTCCGCCTGGAGAAGGCGGGGAGGGAAGGTCTCACCATGTGCGGACCTTAGCTCAATGTCAAAGGAATCGATCGCTCGACCACTTCACAGCCACCATGAGGGCCGCGCTCAAGAACACAGAGTCGGTGCTGGCGAGGACGCGCAGAAACCCGAACCCGCGCGCCTCGCAGGTGGGTTTGCAACGTGGGTCGGCTGCTGCGGGAGATGGTTGGGAGGTGCCTCAAAGAGTTAAATATGGAATTACTGCGTGACTCGGTAGTATCCCTTTTAGGTGTAGATCCGCAGACGGGACTCAAACAAATCCATGTACACGCAGCTTCCCAGCAGCGCCACTCACAACGGCGCCAAAGGTCGGAAACGCCCCACGTGTCCATCACGGGATGATGGACGGACAAGATGTGCTCCATCCGCACAACGGAAAACTACCCAGCCCCGAAACGGGACGAAGCGCCGACGCACGCTGCCGCACGGACGGGCCCCGGATACACCTCGCTGAGTGAGAGGAGCCGACGCACAGCGCCACGTGTGCTGTGATTCCGTGGACGTGGCCCCCTGAGCAGACAAACCCAGGGGGTCTGAAAGCACGTTGGTGGCTCCAGGGGCTCGGGAAGGGGGTGTGGGGCGTGACTGCTTAACGGGTCTGGGGTTCTCTTTGGGGCGATGGAGATTTTCTGGAACTGGATAGAGGTGGTGGTTAGCAATGTTGTGAATGTGCTAAATGCTACTAAATTGCACTTTAAACGGTTGACTTTATGCCACGTGAGTTTCACCTGAATTTGTAACTACAAGAACCAGTCGTGGCTTCGCAATGCTGGACCACATTGCTGCAGGGGGTGGGGGGAGAGAATTCTCTCTGCAGAGACTCGAGCACCCTGGAAGGCAGCTGCATGCGGACAGGGAGGTGGGGCACTTCGGGGTCCCTGCTCTAAGGAGTACGACCGTCCTGCGGGGTGCAGTGTGGCCCCCATGTAGGTATTGGAGGCTCCCTCTTTGCTCTCGAAAGCGACCTGGTGTGAACCACAGCCCACAGCCGCCCCGGGCCTCAGCTCCTCCAGGGCCCGCTGGGAAGCTGGCCTACCTGGGTGTTGCACATCTCGGCCTGGAGGTCGGCACCTACGCACGCACGCCCCCCAAAGGCAGGTCTGAAAACGCCCAAGAGGCACAGGGGGTGAGAGGTGACCCGATGCCCCCAACAGGGAAGTGGCGCCTCCCCCTCCCTGACCCGGGGGACAGGGCCACCTCCGGGCAGTACCTCGGGTTGTTGCACTGCCGCCTCCTGGTGACCACGCCTCCCCCACAGGAGCGGGAGCAAGGACTGGGGGGACCCCAACCAGACCAGTGCCCGTGCACCGCCCCCATGGGGGTCAGCTCCGCCAGGGAGCGGCAGTGACCCTTGGAGCACCACTGCAAGAGAGGGACAGCACCATCTCCCGCACCCACAGGCACCCCACACGCCCAGGGCACCCCACACACCCACAGGCACCCCAAACCTACAGGCACCCCACACGCCCAGGGCACCCCAAACCCACAGGCACCCCACATGCCCAGAGCACCCCACACACCCACAGGCACCCCAAACCCACAGGCACCCCACACGCCCAGGGCACACCCACACCCACAGGCACCCCACATGCCCAGGGCACCCCACACCCACAGGCACCCCATATGCCCAGAGCACCCCACACATCCACAGGCACCCCACATGCCCAGAGCACCCCACACACCCACAGGCACCCCACATGCCCAGGGCACCCCACAGCCACAGGCGCTCCACACCAGAGATCATATCCATGGAGCATGAGGCACCTTGCTGCCCACCTCTCCCGACCGGGTGACCCAGGACAGCTCAGGGTCATCTGCCCTGGCTCTCTGATGCCCCCGTCTCCCACCCCAGGAATGAAGGCTGCAGGCTGCAGGTGCCCTGAGCAAACACGCATGAGCATGCACGCACACACACGCACACCCCCTCCTTCAAGCTCAGGGTCATCTGCCCTGGCTCTCTGATGCCCCCGTCTCCCACCCCAGGAATGAAGGCTGCAGGCTGCAGGTGCCCTGAGCAAACACGCATGAGCATGCACGCACACACACGCACACACCCTCCTTCACTCCCTGCTCTGACCTTCTCCAGGCCACACTCTGTCCCGTCCAGGAGAGGAACGAGGAGGCGGCTGCAGCTGCTCTGGTCCAGGGGATTCGTATGGCAGGAGAGAGCCTGGCACATGTCCTAAGAAGAGAGACGGGCAGCCGGCTCAGGGGCCACCAGGGCCTTTTGGGTCCGTGCTCAGCCTTCAGAGTCCCTCCTCGACTGCAGGACACAGTGACACAGCCAGCACACTGCTCTGTGGGCCCTGGTGGCCAGGGAGGATGAGTGAGCATGGCCGGCTTCTTGATCCGGAACGGGGACAGTAACCAGGGCTCAAGTTCCTTTTAGGGACCCATGCAAGTGTTTTCATTTCTTTTAAAATCAGAAGAAAAAAATAAACTTTTAGGTCAAAGAAAATGTCCTAGTAATATTAATATATATGCATTTATAATCTATTGCAACTATAATTACATGTTATAATTAAAATGTATCATAATTAATATATACGTATTTATAAAAGTTTAAATGTTTTGTCAAAATGCCACAATATAAGTCTTGCTATTTCCCATGGAAGAAGGGGCCCCGGAGGCAAAAGTGCCTGGGGCCCATTAACATCCTCGGAGGAAGTCTGCCTTTGGGCTGCAGGCTCCTTCACCTCCCTCCCTCTGCTCAGGCCCTGGGGTTCAGCTTGAAGGTCACTTCCTCCAGAAAGCCCATCAGCGTCCCTCGGGTTGGAAGCCCGTGGCAACTGCCTACTCGCCCATGGGCTCAGGGGCCTGCCAGGGCCGGCTCTACATAATCTGTGGGGCCCGGTCAACATGAAAATGTGGGGGCCTTCTTCAAACATTAAGAATTTGGGAGGCAGCTGACAGCCGGCACGGCGGGGCTTGAGCTGGGCGCTGGGGACGTCAGGCGTGGGCAGATGGGCCCGCGGCAGGTCGCGGTGCACGGAGGCGGGGACTCACGAGGTCCTCCCTGGCGAAGGTGCAGGCGACCGCCGGAGGGCCGAAGGCGACGCGGCACTGCTCATCGGCGCCGTAGTAGAGGCCTGGGTGCGCCTGAGGAGGGCGCCCCGCGGGCCCGGACCGCGGCCCCGGCGGGTCCCACACGCAGCGCGCCCGTCCTGTGCTGCGACAAGGCCCGGGCTCAGGTCCCGGGTGGACACCGGGTGGGCGCGAGAGGTGAGGGCATTTGGTGGGGGGGAGGTTCTCAGCTGGTGCCCGTACCAAGTCGGAGCGCAGGCCCCGGGCGCGAGTGGAGGTGGTGCCAGTTAAGATGGACCAGCCACGGACGGGCGGATGGGAGGGGCGGGGCGGGGACGGCTGGACTCAAGGAGG